TGATTAATGTCGCTTTAAGAGGATATATGTGTTTTGAAGGTAATTATGTGTAAATTAGACTTATATAAACAAGGTAAGGAACTTATAAAAAAATTCAAGTAAAATCTATGAATATCCTCATTCATAATTGCTTGGCTTTGCTCATGCGCAGACGATAGACATGATAGACCAGCGGTGTTTGATGCATTACCTGACTGGCCCCCAGGCCCCAAGTAGTGATCAGGGTAAGGACATTGAGGTGCGCCCGTTAGAAGGTAAACTTTGCTTTGGTCAGCATCCATAAGTCTTCTCATTTCTCTGATAAAGTGATGATAATGATCACCTCGACCACCTTCAATGTCCAGATCAATACCATCCATTACAGCACTGTGATAAAATCAAAGAAGAGAGATTTAGATTAATGTACGATGAAGATGTACATCTTGCACTGGTTATGGCATTGTACGTTCTTCACTGGTAATCCTTTTTTCCGCCGTCTAAAACTGTCTGAAATTTAATCTAAAAAGTTCTTTAATTTTGCCAAATATATCACATATCCGTAATGCTGACGGTTTTCAGTCGAAAAATAAGCGAGCAAACAAGAAAAAACCGATTTTGGGAAAGTCTTTTTCATTATCACATTACATTCAAAGTTTCTCTAATCAAACACCATTACCTTCCAAAAGGTCGCAGTAATAATGTCCCATCATATCTTTTACCACCGAGGAACAAGTCGTAAAAGGTGTTCGCCAGCTCACGAGCTTTATCCGGTGAAGGCAACGTTCCATCCCCAGTGGCTCCGCCAACGGACATGATAACCTTCTTGCCAAGCTTCTGGCACTCCTTGATTCCTTTCTCTATCTCTGGACAGCGAAGGAGGAAGGGGTGGTCCTGGGAGATGGGTGTCTCGCAGTGGAAGGCAAAGTTTAGAGCAGGAAGGTGATCTAGAGGATAAGAAATAGAATTTTAGTACTGGTTGAACATGGATTGGAAGTAGATTATTCTTCTCGTGGGTTTAAAGGAACATAGTTAACCAGCATTCAGTGCGGTCATGTTTTAGATCGCTCATATATGGCGCACATGAGAAAACTTCAAATATGGCATCTTTCTGCAGTTTTTTCCAATACGGTTATTTATAACGATCTTCCAAAGGCTAAGAAACAATTCAAGCCCATACATACCTTTATCCCGTAAGTCCCAGAAAGCAATAACGAACGACACAGCTAGAATATCATACTTGGTTGTTCTGCATGTCTCTGCCAGCGTTTTCTCATAATTGGCAGGACCATGAGCCGGACCAGCGCCATTTTGTCCCCAGTAGCCAACCAATCGCTGACGACCTGTGTAATTCTCTTCAAAAAAGAAATGGAAAMGTAAAGTTTTTAACAAAACTGTCCAAGAATAGTTGGTAGATTCTCCTAAAATCTCTCCATTTTCAATGGAAAAACTATTTGTTGCTCTTACTCGACAGTTCTTCATACTGAGCTGGTCTATGATATATTATTCTTATAAAAGAGCATTTTACTTGTTCACTTTCATGTAATTGAAGTTTTTATCTCAAAGAAAAGGAGCTTTTATACTTACCACGTTTGGCCCAAATTCCCGCCACAAACACAGCACAGAATATCAGTAATGACCGCATGACGATTCGCGTTATACTGGCCTTAAACACCTCGTACTCGAGATTTTACACAATACGAGGCAACCAGCAACCAGAAAAATCTGTTACATCATACAAACACTAAGCCTTTTCTACAAACACTTTGCTTGTTCAGTTGAGGAGGTTTTGTTTGCCTAACTGATARACCTATCATGTTGTTTATTCTTTCATGGTGAAGATTGATGTGATCGATTGTAACTCGATGTTTTCAAAGACAAACAAGGGAAAGACTGATAAAATAGACCAAAGGCACTTGGGTCTTGTAGTGTAGGTTTGTGTTGATGGTTTATTTGTATGGAGGCTGAAATATTTGAACAGAAGGTTGTGCCTTTGATGGTAAGCCTATTCCTTTTTGAAAAGATTTCCTCTTAGCTGCTTGTAGAACGCGAAACAAAGAATAAAAGGTCCCTACATTTTTGACTCCTTGCTGCAGTTTCTTTCATCTTATTTCCCATCTTTTCAAACCATCTTTTTTTTCTTGTTCTCATTTCTTTTCCTCCACTCCATGTTTCTCTTAATCTTCCTTTCAGAACGTTCCCTCTGAGTCCCCTTGTTCTTCTTGTTCTTCTTGTTCTTCTTGTTCTTCTTGTTCTTCTGCTTTCTCTCACTATGGACAACACACTTTAATCTTTTTTTCATTGTGTTAATCCGTACTAACATCTTCAGTGGATTGCATGGTGTCGAAAACGCTATTACCATTTAGAACAAAGATCTGAATTGCTACAAAACTTTGGCCACTTTCCAAAATTTCGACAAGCCTCCTTATTTGATTGATTTTACGGTAAGAGTATTTCTTGCCTGAATCAGGGAATATAGAAAAACACTACTAATGCTGATAAGTGTATGGTGCTTTTTTAAATAAAATTTACATGTGATATCACAAAAACACATTATCATTATAACTATTATACTGATTATATCAATTGTAAGTGGTACGATATCTTCAGCGTTAAACTTTTACGCACTAACTTATTTCCAAGGGTCTTTTTCCCGGGATAACCTCCTTAGCAATATAAMTTTATTTTGTTGCTATATTAGGCACTAATGGGCTATCTTGATTGGCTATTGTACGTACAAGAGGTTAATAAATTTATTTATAAACATAAAGATCATAAGTAGTTCAAAATGGAAATTAAAGTATGTACCCACTGAGTTTTGCGACTCTTTCATCTTCGTGCAATGAGGAAAATCAATGGACAGCAATTTAGTTTAGAAATGTCATTTTTAACGCTACTAACGTGGAATCYAATTGAAGCAATGCATTGCGGTCTTGGATACACTATAATCAACTGTTCAGTACTCAACGTTTTTAAAATAGCGGTATACAGCATACTAGTCCAAACTTGTAGAACTTGTGTAGCAAGTCTAAAAATCCTTTCTAAGTGTGTCAACAAGGAGTTCGACTTCAGAACGCCGACTAGTGATTCTCAGAGTACGTTGTCTCTTTCTAAAAATCCTTTCTAAGTGTGTCAACAAGGATTTCGACTTCAGCACGCCGACTAGTGATTCTCAGAGTACGTTGTCGCTTTCTAAACTGTTAAACAACGCTACCAAACCAAATATTGTTATTCGACTGATCCGACGAGCAGCACCTGAACTTGACATTGGGGGCTGCATAAAATCCAAAATTATCTTGACTTCCAACTGAATTTGGAGTTTTTTTAAAGTCACATAGATCATAGGAAGAATCGTGATGGAAAATATAAGAACCGTCTATTTGCCACCAAGCAGCCGTACAGTCGTTGCATTTATGTCCCATTACGTTCATATATTCTACTCTTTTACAGATTTCGTATCCCTTTAACGAGAGCATGTCCACATCGGCGATCTTTCCACGTACGTAATCGAGGTAGTTAACACCGTCTTGCGGAAAGTTGCACGTGATTCTCCAGTGAGTTGACCTAATAAAAGTAGTTAGTTAGAGCAAGGAAAACAAGAAGATTCTGATGAAGATCAAGTAGCAAAAAATACGAACAAAAAGAACAAGTGCAAGAAGAACAAGAAGAACAAGAAGAACAAGAAGAACAAGAAGAACAAGAAGAACAAGAAGAACAAGAAGAACAAGAAGAACAAGAAGAACAAGAAGAACAAGAAGAAGAACAAGAAGAAGAACAAGAAGAACAAGAAGAACTTAATCGGCATTCTCACCTCGTGCTGATATCCTCCATGCGAGCAAGCGACAACCGATAGGACTCCCAGTTTGGTTTGTCTTCGTTGACCGGGTCGTTAATGAAGAAAGCCACTGATTTGAACTGCCGTAAAACTCTGTTTTTATAACTAGCGGAATCCACAAGTGTCCAGACTTTGTTTGCCTCGCTGTGGAAGTCGCAGAACACCCGGTAGTACTGGTTGTCACGGTCTCGTATATAGTACAGACCTGATTCCCGGACACCCGACTTGTAGTGGTCTGCGCATGTCTTGGGAAATTTCTAAAAACAGTTCAAACAGGTGTGGTTATATATATCGCATGGATTTATGTACACAGACAGGTGACATTTAATAAGTCTCGAGGTATTGCGTTCTCCGCACTTGACGTCAAATTTATTCTTTTGAATTCCTTTTGTATTGTAAAAATTTCAAAATAAAATAATTGGCGTCAAGTACGGAGAAGACAATACCTCGGGACTTATTAAAAGGGTGTAATTGGTAACCAATTTTTTCATGAATTCATCAGTGAATTTTGCGATGAATTGAGGCGTCAAAAACGAAACGGTCACGTCCAAAAACCGTATTGATTTAATCCAACTYTCAGATGCCAAATTTCTCGCGATTTTTTTCATACATTTCGATATGACAATGATGTTGTAAATAATATGTCTGTACGATTGGATATTTATATAGTTCGAACACATCCAATAACCAGTGTATGAGTCGCGAATATATTCTGATAAACGTTTTGTGTAATTCTCCTGATTTGAACGGTCTATAGCTTCATTAAGACTAACTTGCAGCTGTCCAAGGGCAATAGAAATAAAAAAATGGAAAAGAAGTTAGCGAAGAAGAGGTATGAATAGAAAAGCTAATGTAAACAAACTTTTTTTCTTCTGCCGTTCATACTAATAGCTTTAGGGCTATTTGAAGGCCGAAAATGGACTTTTGCCGGTTGAAAACATTCAGCTATATTTTTAAATTTGTCTTTTGAAAAACAACTAATTAGTGATTCAAAAAAAGAAAGTGTTTACAGTTACAAGGCAAACTCACCATTGAATCAGTCTGTATTTGAACAAAGACAGAATTCGGTTCCTTTTCAAGGCTTCCTGCAATTCCTTCAGCAGCAGAACTCACTCCCTTCGTGTTCAGCTCACAGAATTCTTCTTTCATTGACACAAAGTAGTTGTATGACACGCATTTAGGGAATTCAGCCAAACATCTTTGCCCACAGCCTATCATGGTGACCGAGTTAAAGACCTTGTAGTTAAAACCATTGAGTTTGTAGCCTTGTAAGGAGATTGGTAGACCATCTGTGTATCTGTAATCTTGATTCATTGGATTTTGGGCTTTTGTGATACAAATAATGTTCTTCATTGCGATAAATATTATTATTTGAACAGTGYGTACATCCATTTTAGCTAGAAGCTGTTTTTTTTAACGAAAACTCAAGAGTAGCCTACAAAATTGTCTGAAAAGTCGGGCTTACGTCCGTTTGACCTGTTTTTCACCGATGGATTTCAGTCGTCTGGTCCCATCCACTCGCACGAGACAATTTCTTCCTCAAAAGTTAGTCTCCTTACCAATATGCCACAACTTAATTGTCCTTTGACAGCATATTGTGGGAAATAATTAATAATTCTAAAATCGTTTTTGTTTACAAAAAGAAGCGATTTAATTACGTTTCCCCTGAACATTAATTATTGATTTAAGAAATTCCGCTATTTTTTTCTCTTTGAAATGTTATTTTATAAGCTAGAATCGTTGATTGTGAAAAGTATGTTTGTGAAATATGTTTGTGAAATGCTATTTCGCTCCTAATAAAGAAGGTCCTTCGAGAAAACGATGAATTGATTTCGATTTAATGTCAATCATGATTTTTGTAAAAATATTGTATCCAGCTTTGGTCAGGCGAACAAATGTATGTGCTCGGGATATAGGTACTTAATAAACACTAAAAATGTCGCTAAAGAACTTAGTAAAAAGTGTCGACTATCTTGCATTCAATTTGTATGTGCAAAGGCAAAAGGAAATGCACTGCAATGTTCTAGATGTTCGGCAAGATGGCACCAAATGCAGATTCAATTGCAGATTAGTAGATTTAATTAAATGTTTATAGYAAAAAGCAAACAGAACCCGCAAACAAAGCGCGCTTCTATTAAAAGAGTTCTCAAGTGTTTTCGCGCTSTTATTAAGGGAATCTCGATTCGCTGTCTCTTGGGCAGATTTTAATTTATATTATAGGTCTCCCACACCTGCGTTTCTGGCTTTTTTCCATGTCCCTGGGTTGTTTTTCGGAGAGAAGCCTTTGTTTTTTTGGCAATGGTTTTCGTCCTGTTAATTTAGGAATAGCTAGTCTGTTGATTTGTTTAAGATGTCAGTTGTGAGGGTTAAAAAGCCTTGTCTGTCATTTCTGAGTGGCATTTGTGGGTGCTTGTAACAAAACACCATCATTAAATACATGTATTTAGGACRCTATAYGATGTAATTTGTTGTTTTAACGTCATTTGCGGTMTCGGTTAAAAATAACCCAGTGAGGAAGCCCGAGTAGGCCTGATACATCCCATGCGCCCAATGGTATCTGTGACTCACAAGCCCTATTCTGGAGAAGCATGATTTTCCAAAGGCGGGGCAGGTGTTGGAGGAACCCTGTGATTGACAGGCGTTCCGTTATTTTGGTGGCGCCCGTTGCCACTCCCTCTTAGACTGTATTTCTCCATCCGTCCTGCGGTTAAGCAATTGCGCGCATGCCCGTAAATGGGAGTGYGTCGTTAGATCTGTCAAAGACGTTTGTCCATGATTTGTCATTCTTCTTTTTCTGATTAAAAAGCTCTGCTTTCCTCGTTTTCCTCAATTTTAAGACATAAATTAGTTATTAAAGGGAAGTTATTTTAATAAAAAGGAAATAGATAACTAAAATCAATGAATAAATAATTACCGGAATTTTTGACATTTATATCTAAGTAATTAAAAAGTTTAATTAATATAAAAAAAATCAATTAATCCTCTTACACATTTCCGAAACAAGTACTTTTTTTTATTATTATTAAAATAAATATTACATGTACGAATGGAAGTGAAGATTAGCCAATAAGCTTTCATAAGCTTTAGATCACGCGACAATGACCGATAATTGTATTTAATTTAATTGAAGTTATAACAACGGAGTAGTRACACCTGKGGGRAACTATTTTGAGGAYTTTTGGATCGCGCGCTTGGGATTCRCAGCACTGAAAACACTGATTACATCACGGGACGCCATTTTCATCGTATCATTGTACTTCAAGGTTTMTTGCTACATTCAAAATGGAATYAGYGATGATGTTTTTTGTACATGTTTTTGTCATAAAAKATCTCWTTGGAATCTCAAAAGCCCAAAATYCAWTGAGTCAAGATTACAGATACACAGATGGTATACCAATCTCCTTACAAGGCTACAAACTCAATGGTTTTAACTACAAGGTCTTTAACTYGGTSACCATGATMGGYTGTGGGCAAAGATGTTTGGCTGAATTCCCTAAATGTGTGTCGTACAACTACTTTGTGTCAATGAAAGAAGAATTCTGTGAGCTGAACACGAAAGGAGTTAGTTCCGAAGCTGAAGGAATTGYACGAAGCCTTGACAAGGAGCTGAATTCGGTTTATGTTCAAACTCAATCTGTTTCGATGGTGAGTTGACTTTGCACTTTAATTGTAAACAAAATGTTTTCGCGTCGTTATGACTTATTTTGGACAGCTTGTTGTATTCACGCGATGAAGGTTAGGTTTGACAAAATAAAACACCTTGAAAACAACAACAACAACTCGAGAAACAACTCGAGAAACGACTCGGAAAACAACTCGGGAGTGGCACAGGTCCTGACGACGAATATACTTTGCTGTAGATAGTTAGAAAATGTTCTCAAAATTCGAGGCGAGATAAAGTTCGAAAGCGATAAAATTGAATTTCATGTTAGGCACTTCTTCCTAAGCAAATTAATAACGTGTCATGTTTACATTTTCTAAGTACACGTTCTTCAAAGAAGTTTCTCTTCTTTTCAATCCAATAACAGTGGTTATCGATAAAGCTTTAATGTGTAACTAAAGATTGATTAAATCGAATCAGAACATTTTATAGTGTACATGAATGGTAGAAAGTGCCGAATGTGATTGAAGACTGAAAAAAATATCTCCGTGAAATTAGAAGCACATTTCTGTCAATATTTCCATTTGTTGACGGAGATATTTGTTCAGATGGTCGCTTGTAACAAAGAGCACGCAATAGTTGATAACAAAAGTTGTAAAGGCTTATCATTCATCCTATTCAATTATTCATTCATTTATCTTTTCATTCATTATTTATCTATCCGTTCAGCTCTTCAATCAACCATTTGCCAGTCCTTTGATTAAAAACTCACTTGCATCCGGAAACCTTTGCGATCGTTTTCTCTTTTTAAGCGGGTCTGTTTAAAAAGTTGATTTTGGATTGGTTGAAAATCATTGATGACGTGCTTACTTTTTGCGCGAGAAAACAACGCAAAGGATCTCGGATGGGCCTTTGGTTCACCCGTTCATTCGTTTTTTGTTTTTTGTTTTCGATTTTTTCATTTAGTCGTTCATCTTAACATTATTTTCTCCTTCCAATTTATAATATAGAATTATCCCAGGACATGCGCAGACCATTACAAGTCGGGTGTCCGGGAATCAGGTCTGTACTATATACGAGACCGTGACAACCAKTACTAYCGGGTGTTCTGCGACTTCCACAGCGAGGCAAAMAAAGYCTGGACACTAGTGTACTCCGCTAGTTTTAAAAACAGGAAAGTGCCGCAGGTTGAAACGATGCCTTTCTACAYAAATGGACCACTRAATGAAAACACACCAAAYTGGGAGTCTTAYCGATTATCTCTTGCACGCATGGAGGACATCAGTAACAGGTWATTATGATTGATATTATACTATCATAAAACCATTATTGATGTTCATAATTCCCCATATCAAACCAGTATAATACAGCACAGCGGCTGCACAAAATATTTTGGGGCGCGGCGCCCCSACATAACAGCATTGGTTTTGTACATAAAACATAAATGTATACAGCTATTTCAAGAAACGCTATCGGGGAGAACGGCAAACGGTGATTGTCGAAGRGAGATTGCACGACCGAAAGTGGGTACACTGTTTTGATAAACATAATTTCTCCTGTTGGAATCAACTTACATAGTAATGGAGACTACATGGAGCCAATGTTTAGCACAGATCATCTTAGAGTACAAATGAGTTGTTATTTTATTTCACCAATCAAAACCCATTGATACTTTCGGTCGTGTCATCGCCGTTCAACAATTGCCATTCGCCATTTTATCCGACAACCATTTTTGAAATAGATATATGCATTTGCAAAAGCTGATGTGGCGTCATCAGTGTAAGTCTATGATTGTGCCCGTCCAAGTCAATTTTAGCTCCGCCACCCCCTGCAGCAACAACATTATAATGTATCAAATTGTATCCTTTCTAGCTCAACACTTTGGCGAGTCACGTGCAACTTTCCACAAGATGGTTTGAATTATCACGACTACGCACGCGCGAAGATTGCCGACATGAACATGCTAACCCTACATGATAATGGGATATGTCTACGGATGGAATACATCCACGCTGTCAATCACAATTGCTCTGACTGCACGGCTGGCTGGTGGCAGCGCACTGATGTTATACTGCATCACGACCTTACAACTGATCCTTGTGATTTTGGTAAAACTTCGGGCGCAGTTCCAACGCAAGACGCGTTTGGGTTTTATGGAGGATATAGCAACAACCACAGATGTTCCGYGTCGGATTCATCYAGTACCAATATCTGGTATGGTAGCAACGTTTGAGTGTTAAATCKTCCGTGAAATRCAACGTTTGAAAGGTATATATTCAAAAAAGTGGGGTTTTATAAAGAAATGACTTTCACAGTGTGATAGGTACATGGCTGTCTAGCAGGAGTTTTWACAGTTCTATTTATATTGATCAACAACTAACTTTTCTGTAGCAGTTGGCTCTATGCACTGATAGTACGTCTCAAAGGCGGAAACTGTCACGTGGGGGTTTTTCCTCCAATGAGAGCRGAGGAAATTTGTTTTATAGCAAGAGAGTTCACTAAAGTTACACTCAGATAATTGAGGTTAAGGTTAGAATATCAATTGGCTCAGATTAGCGTTTTCGAATGTGTGAGCGTTTCGGCCCGTTCTATTCACGYTACAACATAAAACTGGAAAAAATCGCGCTCTTCAAAGGTTTTAAATTTGATGTTAATATGTAAGTAACATAATATAGAAAATTTACACACTTTTTACATACATTTTACATACACACATTTTACAAATTTGATTTACATCATATTTACACAAAAGTTACATACAATTTACAAACTTTTYACATACGTTGTAAATATCGTGGAAATRAGATACGCGATATTTACWTCAAATTTACGGCTTATGTAATTTTAATGTAAATATTATGGARATTGAATTTACATCATATCTCCATAGATCAATTTACAAACTTCAAGGAGCGCGATTTTTTCCAGTGTAAGGAAGGCAGAACAAGAGAATTTTCTACGCAGGAAACATAGGCAGAAGTAGAAACATAAGATTTTTAGAAAAAGTTCTTATGTTTCCTTATGTTTCTGCTAATGATTTTGTATAGTATAAAAGTCCATGCATGTGACCGAATAGGCTCATTCTATTGGTCTAATAATTATTAA